TTTCCTCTTGGGGAATTAACTGATTGCAGAGAGAGATTATAAACCTGAGAGGCATTTTGAGAATTTCATGAAACTAAGGGGATATGCACTTGAATTTCAGAGGGCACCAAAAAGTAGGAACCCTGGTGAACTCCTTGACTCTGTATTGGAACCATGAAGGGCTGCAGTATTGATGCAAGAGATAAACAGCATTCCCCTTTCCAAGTACTTCAGTAGCTTTGAGTCATCTTACTCATTGCTATAGGCTGAATTGTGTCCTCCTGAAAAATCATATGTTGGAAGCCCTAACATTCAGTACCTCAGACTGTGACAGTATTTAGAGATGGAATTTTTAAGGGGTTATGAAGTTAAAATGTAATTATGGTGAGCCCTAATCCAATATGACTGATGTCCTTACAAGAAGAAAAGATGAGGACACAGACACACACAGAGGGAAGTCCAGGTGAAGACACAGGAAGAAGATGGCAATCTATAAGCCAAAGAGAGAGGCTTCAGAAGAAACCAAACCTGCTGACACCTTGATCTGAGACTTCTAACTTCCAGAATTGTGAGAAAATGAATTTCTGTTGTTTAAGCTACCAGTCTGTGATATTTTGTTACAGCAACCCTAGCAAACTAATGCCCTCATTCCACTGGTTAAAGTGAATCCTAGATTGCTAGTGCCCCCAGGCACCAGGCAGAAAGAAAATCATCTCTGGAAGAGATTTGGCCTCAAATTATTCCACAAACAATTTGGAAATTAAATGACTACAATAAAAAGTAGTCAGGCAACGAGGAGATAAAATGACACAGAACAAAGCCAGCAGAAGTGACAAACAATAGAAATGACTCACAGGACCCCCCCAGTAATGCAGTATTAATACCTAGACTTTAAAATAACTATGCCAAATATATTCAAGGGGATAAAAGGTAAGATTATGAATTTCATTAGAGAATTGAAAACTAAAAAATGAATGAAAATTTAAAAATAAAAAATAGCATATATTAATAACTCAATAGATGGCATTTACTGCAGATTAAAAACATAGAATTAGTGACTGAAAGATCAGAGGAAAATGTCCAGAATGAAGCACAATGAGACAAAAGGATAGAAAATACAGAAGTAAGAATACGACATATAAGGATACAGTTAGAATATCTAATATACATGCTGATTGTAGACTGGGTTCAGGCAGAATTACACCTTGGCCGGAACAAGAGAGAGGAGACGTTCACCCAAATAAATACTCAAGCATGTGTCTTATTTCCACTTTCTGCAGATTGAAGCTAAGGTAAAAGAATGACTTTAAACATTATCAGAGAGGAGAGTGTGGTGATATTTTGTTTAACAGTAAGTAATTTCTCATTCTATATCTTAACACTGTTATAAAATGTATTTTGCTTACAGTTTTTCATGCTTTTGTAAGAATATTTCTTATTAAATTAATCACAATATATTAATATTGCTGAAACTGAATAGGCAATTTACATATACAACAAAGTAAGCTGTTGATTACAAAAGTTTACTGAGAAATAGCAAAAAGGGCAGAACGTGATCGTAGGGTATCTATACACACACTGGGATTATTCTACTAATGGACGGCATGAGTTCTCACAGCAGGTAGGAGCTGCCAGGTTTGGCCCTTTATTTTCGTGCTTATCTAATAGTTATAGTAGTTTAAATAATGCTACAATATAACAAATAAAATAATAAAACCACAATATAGTAAATAAAAACTTTTTATCCCTGAGAAATTGGCAAGCTTCCTCTCTTTTCTCTGCTGTGATCTTCCTTGCTTTTTGCTCAAACAAACAGAAAGCATAGAGCAAAGTTTAGGACTCAAATTCAGACATTAGATTAATCCTTGTAGCCAATATATGCCCTTCCTTCTATCTTCTATAATCTTGGGGTGTTCTTTTTATATTTGTCTTTTATTATCTTTTTTAAAAAATTATAATAACTGTCCTTTGGTGGAAGCTGATTCAACTTGAATGTATCATGTAAAATGTGTAACAGTGTAATCAAAATTGTGGCATCATGACAGAGATTTTATAGTAAAATTCAAGTAATCCCCTTTAGTTATCCAGATCCTCCCTTATATTTCATTGACAAAATTCAACTTAGTGGTTCATAGGTTTACACCTATCGCCAAAAAGAAGCCCTCCGCATATATGTTAAACTGTAACTTGTAGTCCTTTGTATATAAAGCATAGATTTCAATGTTTATCAAAATGTAGGCAGAAAAAAATCTGTTATTTCTCTTCACATAATAACCATGTTTTCTCAGCAACAATTCCTATAGCTGTTAGCACAATCATCCAAATCTTCAAGGAGAAGGCAGTAAGAAATGAGCCACTCATTAAATGTTGCCTATTGGGCTAGTTAGTTCATCTTGAATACACATGACTGGTGCCCAGTAAGGAATTGTCCATCAATTTAATGTTTTACTTGCAGACATTTACATGTGTTGCCCATGATATGATAGCTCATCTATATACCAGTCACTCAAGTGGACCAGCCCTGAAGGCTGACAGGGAGTATCAGTAAATGCACATGGAAATCGACAGGTGGACAGGCTGACAAATTCAGAACTGAAGACACGTAGCCTCCATGTATTCAACAAAAGCCGTGTTTGCAGATCAGATCACAGATACACATCAGACTCCTTTGCAAAATGTCATTGAGCATTTGTTTCTCTGTTCTTACAAAGATCTTGCTTAGGCAGTGGTGAAGGGAAATATGTCAACTACAATAAAAATGGTGATAACCTCATTTTTCTGTTGCATTTCCTGCTATGGAAAGGGCTTCATTATGAGCAAAGAGCTCTGCTACTGAGGAGCTTCCCTGCTGCCCAAGATGACATTACCAACCCTCCCTCCCCACCCCAATGGAGAATTATAATGAGGGAAGCTGGAGGGGGTGGCAGAGCAACAGAATTCTGCAAACCAGCCCCCTCAAGCTAAGCTCTGCACTCTTTCTTCATTAGCAATGTGCAAAATCACAAAACCAACCCAATACAGATAATGTTTGTGAGGATCCAACACTCTGTGAGTCAGGAGCTATGAAATGTGTGTTACAGGGAAAATTTATGTCTGGATGGGGTTTAGCTTCTTTAATAATAATGATAATAATGGGATATACTATATGCCAGACACTGTGCTAGATGCCAAACATATCTCATTGAATCCTCTAAACTCCCTTACAAAAAGTGCATTATCTTCATCACCATTTTACAGATGAGGAAACCAAGCTGGGTGATTTGTAATTATTAAGGAGTCTGTTTCCTAGCACAATGCTCTCTCTATTAATCTACAGTCCTCCCCTGTCAAGTTTGCTGCATATGTTTCTACCCATGTGATGTCATCCATGAGGTCTAGGGTGTGTGTGTATTTGGTGTGCTTTGGTGCTCTTTGAGCTGCATAGGAAAACCTTCACCCCTCATTCGTCATACTTACTGCCCTTCCTTCACAAGAAATTGTGACCTATCATATCATTATTCTTTTCTTTGGAGTCCTAATGCACCTCATAATTTTCTAGCAACTAAAGCATAATCTAGTCATTCACAGCTGTAGATGTGCCCTCGTGTGGCCTAAGCCCCCATCCAAGCAAGAAAACTCTGAAGAAGGACGGAGAAACTCGAGGTCAGAAGCTGCACGCTGGTTGGCCATGATTTAAGTCCTGCTTGCTGATGCTTTTTCTTGGCTAGTGCAGAGTTTCTTTGTCTACCTTTCTTTAAAAAAAAAAGTATTGAACTTTAAAAAAAATCAAAGATTTTATGTAAAACCTGATTTATGGCTTCTCTTGAAAAACTAAGAATTAATAACACTGTGCCCTTTTCTTGCATGACAACTGGCAGTGCCTTTCTATAGAAGGACATAACTCTCTGGTCTACCCCAGACCTTTCTTCTCATGAACCTGTGTCTGCAGCTATACCCAGTGCCCTTCAGTGCTGCTCCTTGTCCACCTGGCTGGCTTTGTGAGTTCGCTGATTCCTGCTTTACTTGAATCATGACTGTCATCATCTGAGGCCTTTCTAGCAAGGCATCTGTTGACAGCCAATTAGCCAAGACTGCCCTTTTCTGTTCCCAGTGGGTGGTGAAGCCATGTGTGGGGTTTTGTTTTTGTTTGTTTGTTTGTTTGTTTGTTGGCAGTTTGGGGCAATGGAGAATACTTTGATCACCCACAACTAGCAAAACCCTACTAAGTAGGCTAGAAAAAAGTGCAGCTAACCATTTCCTGCAGCTTCCTCAGGGTACACGTGGGACCCTGAGAATCTCTAAAACCCAGGAAGTGTTATTCCTGCTTTGGAACCTTAACAGCATCTTTTTCATGAAATGAAGACTCGGGTCCTGCATATTTTTTCCACCCAGCTGCAAACCATCTGGTGAATGTCAGTCCTTTCCCCAAACTGAGGAGAATGATGTGAAGGGGAGCGAGAAAGGAACTATCAATTTATCCTGGCAATGTTTCAGTGCTGTGTTAGTGATGGCTCCCTTGTATTTCAATTCAACATGTATTTATTGGGCACCTTCTCTGTGTAGAGCACTGTGCCCTGCAGGGTGGCTGCTGGTCACACCCCACATTTGTAAAGCACTTTGAAATACGTCATCTAACCCCTACGTTAGTCCAGTGAGGGGGGGGGTCTTTATTACACCTGTTTTACAGATGACCGCCCTGAGGCTGAGAGGAGTCTTATCCAACAGGAATGTAAGAAATAAATAAAGAGCACACCAAGATTTGAACTCAAGGTATGGAGCTCTATTTCAGCACCATACCTAGAGCTTATAATGTTTTCTTAGTTCATACTGGTTTAGAGGAAATGGTCTCATTGACAGAAGAAATTATGATTTCTCTGGCTTCTTCCAGTTTGTTATGGTGTATTAGATGGGGCACAAGTAGTGATGAAAAGATCTGCTTTTTATTTTTTTACCAACTGTTTTCTATTATTTACTTTTCTATTTAATTTTAATTTAACTTATTTAATTTTCTATCATTCAGGCTGCCGGCGAGGGAAAACCACTAGTCTGGGAGAGGGAGCCCGAACGTTGCAACTGCGGCTCATGCTGCCACTATGGGCACAGATGCTCATTTTTGTGACAAAACCAATAAACCCAGGCAGCATTGCAGTCGCCTGAAGTCCCAAGGCCCTCCATACTGCTGACACTCATTACCGTAGCCATGGGGTGGCACAGGAGCTGCTGGGTGTCCCCGCCAGAGTCCAGAGTCGCGGACAGCGTGGGGACACTGGCACCACTGATGTGCCAAAGCAGGGCCCTGTTCCCTGGGGCTCTGGATGTCTCCTGGTAGGCTGAGCCTTGGGGAACGGGCACAGAGATGAGATAAAGTGATTTAGTTCAAACCACAGCACATGTATCAATGTGTGACTACAACATAGTACGAGAAGTGCTAGGGTAGAGGTCAACGCAGAGGTGATGATGGGATGCTCCAGACTCAAGAATTCTTTGCTGTTAGAACTACCGACAAGAGGCAGGAAACAGTGGTGAGAGTCCTCCTGCTCCTTGGTGCCCCAGCCAGCACAGTCCACGCTCACTTTCAATCAGTTGCTCCTATGGATGAACCAGAGACAACAGTAACATTTTTCCTCAAGTGAGACACCTCCTAAGAATCAGGCATTTGCCATCCCATTTTATGCTCTAATTCTAGTAGGGAAGCACAGCTATTCACATGCCATTATTTATTCATTCAACAAACATAAGCTAAGTACTTATTATATGCCTATCTTCAATTTGTTCACAGGCTATAACAGGAAGTCACATGCTGTCTTAGTCTGTTTGTACTGCTTTAACAAAACATCTGAGACTAGGTCATTTATAAAGAACAGAAATTTATTTTCTCACCGTTCCAGAGGCGAGAAAGTCCAAGATCAAGGCACTGGCATCTGGTGAGGATTTCCGTGCTGTGTCGTGGCAAAGGCAGAAGGGCAAAAAGGGGACAAATGCCGCACTCTCAAATGGAGGAAGAGTGGAAGAGAGTGAGCCACTATTTCAAGCCATTTTATAAGGGCCCTAATTCCATCCATGAAGGCTTCCCCTTCATGCCTTAATCACCTCTTAATACTATCATATTGACAATTAAGTTTCAACATGAATTTTAGAGGGGACAAAAACATTCGAACCATAATACATACATGTCTAATTATAATATAAAATGAGAAGTATTAGGCTAGAGGTAAACTCAGAGGGCCATGAGAGCACAGAGAGTGGGAGTGGGACTTTACTGCCTCTCCCCTATTTGGTGTGGAGGTGTTCAGAGAAGGTTTTCTGGATAAAGTGATGTCTGAGCTGACACTTGAAGGACAAATAAGACCCAGGCAACTTTGATGGGAAAAGTCAGACAGCATGTAAAAGGTACTAGTGGGAAAAAATTTGGCACATTTGGAATTGTTGGGAAGCAACAATATTTGGGTGCGTTGTGAATGGTGAGGTTTGGGGCTGAGACAAAGTCTTGGTCTTGATCATGATCATGAAGGAACTAGAGTACTATGCTGGGAAAGCCACTGAAGGGCTTTGAAGCCAGTAAGTAACAGGGTCAGAGTACATTTTGGGTCCCTTCTGGATGCAGAATATAAGATGCCCCTGGTGAAGAGGACAAAGCACAGTTTCTCTTTCTCTAGGAAGTTGATGCTCCCGAACTGAACAACCTTGGGAACACCCACCAAGCCAGTCACATCCGTCTGGCAATCAGATGGATGACAGCTGTTCCAGCCACTCTCCCTGACAACCCCTGTGGTGCAGGAGCCTCTGGGATGGGAGGCAGCTTCAGCATGCCTGAGTGCCAAGGGACACCTCACCAACTGTACAAAGATGTGACTGGCACATACACCCACCAGGCCTGGGAGGGGCAACACCACTGTCATCCTCAGGAGCCTCGAGAAGCCGACAGTAACAGGACTCGGACCAGCCTTAGCTGGATATTGACAGCAGTGGTGGTTATAGAGCAGGGCTGGGCCTGAGGCCAAATGAGTTGGCAGGGTCTGCCTGGCCTCTGCCTTGCCCCACTCAGCTCCATCTGTCTAACGGTGGGTGTGAGCCTTAAAGAGTGCCAGCCTTCAAACATGGCAATTCAGAAAAGGGAAGAGGACACACAAGATGGGTGAAAGGCTTGGGCAAAAGACTGCCTATGATGTTCAGGGCTAGAAAACAGTCATACTGTGGCCACAAGGATCTTTCAAATACTGTTCTCATCTTTGCTTGCTTTATCATTTGTCTACCTTTGTTATTCACAAAGACATGCCAAAATTAATGTATCCATAAAGACATTTTCAATGGGGGTAGGGAAATAAGCCTAATTTCAAATGCCTTAATCAAAAAATGAATTAATTGTTCATGTAAATGAAAAGTCCAGTGATACTTTAAGGCATAGTATGATCAAGGACTCAAAATTGTGTTAAGGTTTCTTTCGTGGCATTCCCAGACTTAGACCATTTTAACCACTTAGCATCCTAGTAAAAAGAGACTTTTTTTTTTATGGAAGCAAAAGTTCTGGAGTTTAATCTAATTTTACTGGTTTGGATCATTTGCTATCAATGGCCAGAGCAATGGGAAACTCTGGTTGAGTGGGTTGGGGTTCTATGACCATGCTTGGAGGTGAGAGGGGTCTTCCATTCCCACCCAAACCACATAGATAGTTGTTGGAAAATGGTGGTTTCTTGGAGGAAATATGGAAACCATTAGTGGTGTCCATTAGGGGGGAAGATTGAAAGACAAAACAAGCACCCTATCTCACTGAAACTGGTTTACCAAGCTATGTTGACTAAAGGTGAATAATTCGGATGGAGATTATCTGCTATTGATAATGACGACAAAGTTAACTGTCATTGGTGTTTTATGAAGAGATTTGTATAGTTTGGTGTATAGTTCAGTAATTTTCCTGAGAGCGTTTTCCTTGTTAGAAGAGTGGTTTAGGCATTTTGCTGAGTTCATGTATCATTTACCAGTTATAAGGGCTATGGAGTTGTTCAAGGACTAGGTGACATGCTCTTAAACAGTTTCAGTCAAATGACCTAAGTCCTAACTCGTATCTATATCAAAGTTAGATGGTTAATGTAAAATATTCATGATTATACTGTATTATTCAAGTATATTCTAGAACAACCTTAATATTGTTTTTGGCTAAGTCTTCAAGGCTTTTCCTTTATGCCTTTCATGGAATTATTATTTTACCAAACACATTTGTAAATTAAAAATATCATAAATATACAAAGTCAGAATGTTAGGCATGATTTCTTTAGAGAACCATCTGGAGTTTCTGACCTCAAATTCTCTGATTACATTGGCACCAATAACTTAATACAGTTTTTGTTAAATGAAGGAAGAATGAATGAATGGCTATTATAGTCTAATCCCTGTAAGAAAGTAAAAAAAATATATCAGTACCAAAATCCATTAGTAGATCACTGTATTAACCTGGGCTGGGGTAATAAGGGTCTTTCCTGGAAGGTCAACCTTGAGAATAAGAAGAAAAAAATTATGAAACATGTTGAAAACTGAATTGTTCCATCAGGGTGATAAAATATGGTAACTGGTTATAATAAGAGGCCAAAGATGACTTTAAGTTTTTAAGATGACTTTTTGGTGGGAAACATGAATGATGCTGTTGCTGACAGTTTCTGTTTACTGAGTGTCAATTACTTGCCAGAGATTTTTTATGCTATTTAATTCTCATGATTTGGTAAAATGACTCTCCATATTTTATATATGAGAAAATTGAGGCTTAGAGTGTCTTGCCTATGGGCATGCAGTTATAATGTTCCCTGGCAGAGCTAGAATTCAACTCAACATCAGCCTGCTAGCCTGTTTTTACTAGATCATGGGCATCATTAATGGAAATGTTTAAGAGGGGAAGCTTCCTGGGAAGGAGTAATCGAAGGAGTGAATTAATTTTTTTAAATATTAAAAATGGTGGTAAAATATACATAAAATCTACCATTTTAACTATTTTTAAGTGTAGCCATCACCATCACCCATCTTCAAAACATTTTTCATTTTCATCTTCCAAAACTGAAACTCTGTACCAATAAACAATAACTCCCTATTCCCTCCCACCTGCAGCCTCTGGCCATGACCATTCTATTTTCTGTGTCTATGAATTTGACTACTCTAAGTACCTTCTGTAATTGGAATCATACAATATTTAGACTTTTGTAACTTGTTTATTTCACATAGTCTTCCAGGTGCATCCATGTTATATAGCATTTGTCAGAGTTCCTTTTTAAAGATTAATAATATTCTACTGCATGGATATGCTACATTTTGTTTATGCATTCATCTGTCAATGGACACTTGTGTTGCTTCCACATTTTTGCTATTGTGAATAATAGTGCTATGAACACGGGTGTACAAATATCCAAGTCCCTGCTTTCATTTGAGAGGGATATCTACCTAGAAGTGTAATTGCTGGATCATATGGTAATTCTCTGCTTAATTATTTGAATAACTGCCATAGTGACTGCATCATTTTATATTCCTACCAGCAGTGCACAAGGGTCCCAGTTTCTCTACATCCTCACCAACACTTGTTATTTCCTGTTCTTTTCTTTGATAATAGACATCCTAATGGGTGTGAGTGGTTTTGATTTGCATTTCTTTAACGCTTAGTGCTGTTGGACATCTTTTCACGTACTTACTGGCAATTTGTATATCTTCTTTATAGAAATGTCTACTCAACTCCTTTGTCCAATTTTATATTGGCTTTTTGTTGTTATTGAGTTGTAGAAGTTCTTTATATAGTCTGGATATTATTAATAATACCTTATCAGATGTATGATATATATGATTTGCAAATATTTTCTCCCATCCCACGGATTGCCTTTTCACTCTATTGATAATGTCCTTTGAAGCACAAAAGTTTTTAGTTTTGATGTAGTCCAATTTATCTATTTTTTTGTTTCCTGTATTTTTGGTGTCATATGCAAGAAATCATTGCCAAATCCAATGTCATGAAAATTTTTCCCGTTTTCTTCTAAGCATTTTATAGTTTTAGTTCTTATGTTTAGTTTTTTAAAGTTATTTTGAGTTAATTTGTGTATTATGTAAGGTAAATGTCCAACTTCATTGTTTTGCATGTGGGTAGCCAGTTCTAGCACTATTTGTTGAAAATACTTTTTTTCCACTGAATGGTCTTGGCAACTTTGTCAAAAATCATTTTGATGATATACGTGAGAGTTTATTTCTGGGCTTTTTATTCTATATGTCTATATGTCTGTCTTTATGCCAGTACTATACTAGCATAAAGATTAGCTTTTGAGTTTTTGATTAGCTTTGCAGCAAGTTTTCAAATCGGAGTGTGAGACCTCCAATTTTGTTCTTCTTTATCAAAATTGTTTTGATTATTTGGAGTCCTTTGAGATTTCATCTGAATTTTAAGATGGATTTTTCTATTTCTGCAAAAGTGTTGTTGGGATTTTGATAGAGATTGCATTGAATCTGTAGATCACTTTGGAGAAATGAAAGTTTTAGATAAGCTGAATTTATAACTTGGGCTGAATATGTAAAAATGTTCAGACAGCAGCTCAATTTGTGTGAGCTCAACTTAAAGGTGTTGCTCCTATACTGGGACCTATATAACAGTGTATTCTTTTTTTTTTTTATTGGGGTTGAGTTTACTTATGTTTAGAGAGGTAGTTTTCCTAAGGTGCTAGTCACAATTTGAATATATTTACCTGCTCTATTTTACCAGATAGGAATATCATGCTCACACTATTATTTTTTTTTTTTCATTTTCATTTAAATTATTCTTCTCATTGAAATTCCAGGGCTGCATAAGTCAGTTTTAGGCTAAAAATAGTATAGTTGCCATTGCTGACACTGTTCCATTGTGGAAAGCATAGCCAGCTGCCTTACAAAAAGAAAAAATAATTTTTTGAGTGCATTCGTAAGATAGTGTGAAAATCACACTCACTGATGAAGAGCCCCCAAAACTAATAATGGACTAAGATTTCCTGCACCCATTTCATTGTTTTTATTATTTTTCTGCAATCATAACGGAAAGCAAGATTCAAGTTCCTTCAACCCAACACGTTGCTGATGTCAGAGGTAAAAGGGCAGAAAATGAAGGATTCAATCCAGGGTTGGCACACTATGGCCTGTTGGCTAAATCCAGCCCACCACCTGTTTTGGTAAAAAATATATATATTGGAACACAGCCATTCTCATTCTTTGGTGCATTGTCTGTGGCTGTAGAGTGGAGTAGTTGTGACAGACACCATATGGCCACAAAGCCTAAAATATATCTCTGGTCCTTTACAGAATAAGTTTGTTGATTCCTGGACTAGACTATTGAAAAGTGATGATTGAGTAATTTAGTTCACCCCTCTCATGTCAAAGATGACAAAAATGAAGACACTAATGTCATGTCATATATCAGCCATTGGGAGTGAGGCAGCATGGGGCAGGCTGAAAAACAGAGATGGATGGGCTTTGGCAGGGCTGCCTCTCCTGGATTGGGGCAGAATCTGCAGACAGGAAATGCTAACAGTAGAATGTTGACAACATGGAAAGTCCAAGGGAGGTTGAATCATCATTCTCACAATTCCTAATAAGGTTTCCAAGAAGAGATAACAACAAAGGTCTCGGGAGTGGAAACAAACAGTAGAGGAATCAATGATAGGTGTCTGGGCCCCCCTTGTGCAAACATGGAAAACTAGCTGGGAGCTTCCCACATGCACATGGATCGTGGGGGTATAAACTCTCTCACTGGATGTGCAAATGAATGACAGAGAAAAGACAGATATGACACCAATCACCTGGTCCTCCCACTTTCCTTTCCCTGGGTCAGCGTAGTTGTGATCATTGCTATGACCTTTCATAGTTCAGCCTCCCCTCTCTCTCTACCCATTCCCCATCACCCAAATTCCCATCTGTGAAAACAGAACCAACTTCTTGCTGGTCCCTTTCTTTCAGGACAATTATAGCAGAAATGCTAGGGGTGGGATCCTGGGGATGGTTCTTTTCACGTTTTGGATTATTTCTCTTAATGACAAAAAGAGTTATAACCACTACTGACCCAAATGTTTAATCCTACTTAGGGGGAAAGTTTAATAAATTAGAACATTATTCCAGAGGATTAGGTTGGCCAGCATGAAGCTATCCTTTGAATAATAATACATTTTGAGCCAAAACTCATTCGCTTTCTGAACCAGAAAAATTAGAATGGGTTTGATTTATATGTTTCCAAGGGGAAACAAAAACTATCTGCAAAAATCTGTTTTGCCTTTCTCAACTCCCATTTTTAGAAAATCACGCACAAAATTTGAAAAACTAGTGTCTACTGACTTCATCAATCTGTAAGGAGTGCCAAGTATCATGGTACATGGAAGTCTTTTTCAAAGTCAGCATGTTACCAACAGAAATTCATTTTTGGCTATGTATTTATTCATTCACTCTTTAAACATTTACTGAACATATACCACTTGCTTACTTTCACAAGGCACTAGGAGCATGAAAAGAGAAATAAAACTCTGCCCTTGAATGGCTCACAACCAACCTAAGTGAGGGCAAGTCAGACATAAAAAAGTACCTGATGTTAAGAGTTACAATAGGAAATATGCAAAAGGCTGTAGGAATAGTTTTGTAATAGTTTTTGATAGTCACTGAAAAACTTTGATTCTTACAATAAGAAATCACTAGTTTATCCCTCATAGTCATGGCTTGACATTTTTACTGAACCAGAAAAGATTGTCATGTATAAGAAATTTATACAAGAAAAAAAATTATATATTTTTTGTCTCAGTGTGGTATCTGAAAAGAACCAAAATTATAGGTAGGACCTAATTCAAACGGAAATGGTGCATTTTATATTTATTAGATAATATTCAGAGCAAAACTTTTGTGTATACTGCATCAATGCAGAGTTATGTTACTTCACCAATATATAAAATGGAATTATTTTCATATAGTTTTCTAAGAATTGAGACATCTCTCTAGCATCCATAACTCTGGAGAGTTTAATGTTCAATCTTTTCATCTATTTGTATTAATTCTAGAATATTTTTTTGTATTGGTATGTTTTGAGTAGCTAGTTCCATTTAAAATTTAACAACTAGTTTTCTTTAAAATATATAATTTAATACATAGCCATGCAACACTGCTGGGGTTATTTTGCTGATAAAAGAAGTGAAGTCATTAGATGTGTTTTTGGTTGGTTGATGGAGGAAGGTCCAAAGTTTGGAGTTTGCCCTTTACCTAGGTAGAGGGGATGAGTGCTAAGTCTGAAATCTGAATTTAAGGAGCATTGATAATACTGGCAGCCAGTGAAATTCTTACCATTAATTTCTCTCCAAACCATCTGCAGATGTGTGCGTATTAATTGGCTTCGGGCATTCTGTTACCTAGGAGGAGTAACACATTTGATAGCTAAAATTAGAAGGCAGATAAAAAAAAAAGTGAAAATACAAAGCTTGGTGTGCCAATGTGGGTGAAGTATTATAGCAAGAGACCCTGCCAGGTGGGACAGATCTTTAATCACTGTGAGATGTGAGTGGCAAAAAGTGCTTGAGGCATGTTACTGGAAGACAATGCTATCTCACACTTACATTTAGATTTGAGTGTGAAAGGGTGAGAATTGGTGCTATTCACCATTCCACACTGCCACACTTTTTTACAGCATGCTTTTCATTACATGGATTTGAATATATTAGTGATCAGGGTATGGGGTGAGGGGTGGGTGGAGGAAGCCAGAAGGAAAATTGGAAGTCATTTGGCTTTTATGTTTTAAAAAAGATGATCTCAGCCTTTTCTTCTTAAACATCATAATAATGAAAATATTAACAACCAAAATAATAATAGCTACAAGTTGTGGAGAGCTTGTTATGCAGGAGGCACTATGATAAGTGCTTCATGTGCATCATCTCATTTTAATGTCCCCTGTGTTTCCCCCACTCTCCCTGAACAGTAAAATTTCCTTCCAGAACTGCTCATTCACCATCTCCTAGCAGAAGCACCATAAAAGAATTCCACTTTATTTGCAATTCTGAATTTATAAATTCTTCTTCACCCTTGACCTTGTTGGAGCTACTTTCTGCTTTGAGACAGTAAACAGGGTGTCCTTGAGCATTAGTTGGGGGCGTGGGGTGGGAATGGTGTCCCTTTCCTCCTCACCCAAGGTCAGGCTCAGATAGAGTGTGCTTCTTGGCTGGGCAGTTCTGGACACGTATTGTAGGAGGAAGAGCCTTAGTTTTGTCTCCAACTGATAGAACTGCAGAGTTGAGACTTGTACCCCAGCCCCACCCGATTCTTAGATTTAGAGCACTCACTCACCTCCTGCTTAAGTAGCACCAGGGCAGGGAGAATGCCTTTCCTGCCTCAAAAAAGCAGTTGGCTCTGCCAATGCTAACACCTTGAAATTCCACTGAACACTATTTACTACTCGGTCGGGAATGTGGCAACACGGCAGATCTGTCTTGAATGTCGTCCAAGAAGCCTAGCACCAAAGGGAAACCCTGACAAAAACAGGCACGGAAGTAGGAGCTCCAAATATTGTGAGTAGTTTACTATAGAAGCTTTGCTGCTTTTCAGGAGAACCTGATGCCCCCTACCTGGTGGATGGAGACTCAGGCTCACTGAGATGCTGCAATTCTACTCCTTTCAATGAGCTGCTGAGAGAAGGAACCTGCCACTCCACCAAGAACACTTTCTTTTTAAGAACTTGCTCTTCCTTCTTTCCTTCCTCTGAATCTTTTCTCCTAAACTTTGCTTTTGTTGGTGGCATTTAGACTTGCTGTTTTCTCTCCTCCGGGTGTGCTCTAGGATTTGATCTAATTGTCCTGCTGTTCAAGTGTCACTTGGCATTATTATTGGGAAGATGAATGGGATGTGGGTCAGAGTTCAGCAAGAAGGCATCTGCTCGCTTGCACTGTATAGTTGAAGTGCTCAGAGGTGATCTTTAATGAAAGCTTGGAAAAGATCTGCACAGGGCAGGCTGTTCTCTCTCCCTCCAAAGCAGGAGGGGGAGGGAGACCGAGGGTGGTCCTTTCCTGGAGGGCCAGAAAATGAATAAACAGAAGATAGGAATATCTTTACAGAGAGTTCTCTGCTAGGGATAGATTTTCCTCTGCAGGGGAGAAATTGGGGTGGTAGGAAGGGAGACAAAATGATTAAACGGGGAGGAGGTTGAAATGGAAGCTCTTGAATGGGTCCTAACCCTTCTGTTTTGCTCATAGAACAATCTCACCGAAGAGAGTTTCCACTCCACTCGCAAAGGCTCTCGCCGGCGTCGCCTCTGGCCTCAGGTTACTACTGTGCCATCGCAGGCTCAGGTTCTCTTACTGGACTCTTCGAGTTGACAGTTCTTCCACTTTACCAAGTCGCCAGAAGCCTCACTTACAAAGACCTAGAATTGCTTTGACATTCCAGGCAGGGGGGACAATGGACCCATTGTTCTTTTTGCCTTCTCGAATAGGGCAAATGTCTCCTCCATCTAACCCTGTCACCAAAGGAGGCTGAGTTTGGGGTCCTCAGAGACCCACCTTCCTTCCATTCCCCTTTTGTTCTTTGGAGTGGGTAATTGTGTGCCGCTCCTCACCCACGCCCTATTAAGGCTGTTCTGGGACCCGAGTGGACGCTGCCTTTTTCTGCCATCACAGAGTGGAAGTTGGGAGGAGACGAAAGAAGCGCAAATTAGGAAACTCATTTTAGTTCGGGGCGACCTGCAGCGTGTGGTTCTTCCTGGACCTCTGGGGAGACTCGTGAGGGTTGCCCGCAGGGCAGAGGGCAAGAGAGTGGCCCGCAGGAAGCCTGGCGCAAGCACTAAAAATAGAGAGGACAGCCCCGCGTCACCCAGGGATCCAGGCAGAAAGGGTCTCCCAGGATGGGTGGGGATCCCGCCACCGGCTCCCAACGCTGCAGGCGCCACGGAGTCCCCGCGCAGGGCACACCTTTGCTGCGGGGTTTCCCCTGTGCCTTGTGGGAACCCGGCGGAGCCTCAACAGCTCGGGTGGGCTCCGTCCTGATGTCCTCTCCCCGCAGCTCGCTCCGTTCGCTCTGCCTCGGCTCGGGAGCAAGCGCTCAGTGTCCCTCTCTGAGCATGCGCAGCCCGGCGCCCTCCCCGCCTCTCTGGCCCCCACCCCGCCAGCCTTTTGCTCCTTTCCTTTCATTAAACAAACAGGAGCTCCTGAAACCTGGACCCTGTGCGGGCGGCAGCGCCAGGAGGCGGCGGAGGCGGCGGAAGGCGGGATGGGCGCCGAGAGGGATCTGTGATCCCGCGCACCTCCGCCCCACGGGCGCGCGCGCACACTGACACCCTCTGCCACACACACACACTCTCGCGTACACACTCGCACAAACACGCTCGTACACGCCCGCGCCGCGCGCTCGCCGGCTCGCTCTCCCACGCAGGCGGAATGCAGCAGCGCCCAGGGAGCGTGTCGCCAGCCGCCGCCTGAATGCGCCTCGCTCCCCGGAGCTGGACGGCCCAGTAGGGCGCACGGGCGGACGCGCCGCCGCCGGAGGTGAGTGCGGCGTCCGCAGCCGCGGGCCGCTCCGGGACGTCGCCGCGCCGGGCAGCAGGGGACACGTTCCCCGCCCGACGCGGCGGCGCAGGTGGCCCAAGCGTGGCTTGTGGGTTTCGAGGTGCAGAGGAAGGCGGCGCCGGGGCTGTGCATAGAGAGGGGGGTGAACCCAGGCAGGGTCGCCGCCTGCGAGGTGTCAGATTGACCCAGCGGAAAGCTACCCTTCCCTGCTCGTAAACTTTCCTCCCGTGTCATTTGGGAAACGTGGAGACAAAGGGGGCGTGGAGGCTCCCTCCGTCCCGTTCCGCCCTCCTGACTGCATTCCGGGCTGCGACGCGAGCCGGCGCCCGTGGGTGGGCGTGCAGGCGGGGGCGCCCTGCAGGTAGCTAATGCCAAGTCCTCCCACCCGGGCGGGGGTTGGGATTTCTCACCCCCAGCTGTAAGCGTTGACACTGATTCTCCCTCAGGCGTGGGCACCTGCCATCCTTCCCTTTCACCCCCACCTGCGCCCTATGCGCATAGTAGTGAGGGTGTGTGTATGGGGGGGAGGGTGTCACCTGGAAAATTGGAGGGGCAGCCTTTCTCTTTCAGCCTCAGTGCCAAAGGCGCCGGGGTGAGGCTCGGGTCAGTGCGGGATGAATGATGAGTTCCTGAAAGGCTTGTCATAATCACCTCCTAGAAACGCTGGGCGCCAGGATCTCTCCTCCCAGGGGAAGGTGCTGTCTTCGTGCACAGCACCGCGGCAGCTCTGGGAGCCGGATAGGGGCTGCAGTGGTGGCAGCGGCAGGGGGGAAGCAGGGACTTTATTTTTGCCTCGAGGTTTTAGGACACACACACGTGTGGAATATGTGGAGGACTCTAGGATATTATTTTTCTTTGTGGAGGTATCGTTTTTCTTTTCAACCTCTTTCGTGGGAGAGATTCTCTTCCGTCTGGTATCTATCTAGCGGGCCGACAGGCACCGTTCAGAATATATCTTCGGCCCAAGGGAAGAGGTCCCGAGAAAAGGACTCCCCCAAACGCTAGCCCCACTGGGACGGGATCTCAGAGTGCAGAGCGCCTGCTGCACCTGGGAAAAGCCTCAAATCTAATGGCCCTGCGAAACAGCTGGGACTGGGTCAGCGTGTGAGGAGTCGAGGACTGGGACAAAGGCAAATGGAAGAGGGACAGATAATGGTCATTTAGGAGAGGTGTGACTAGAGGCCAGTTAAGACAGGAGGAGACAGGAAGGGAGGTACTCTACAGCCTTCCCTGAATCCATGTGTGTCTTCTCCTGTTTGTGTGGTTAGCAGCTCTCGTATTCATCGGGTGGGACCTAGCTTGGAGATTTCTGGAATGCCACATCTGGACTGTAAAAGACTTGATTCTTTCTGGGATAACCTTTAGCACAATCACAAATTGGCTCTTTAGGTCTAGAAAGTGTGAAAGTTTCTCTATCTTGATATGTTGTTTGTACCTGGAAGGTGGGATGGGTGGACAGGTGTATTTTTGGCCCTTCTGTGCCTGGGAAGCCTTAGATTTCTAAGAGAAGTGTGTGGGGAACCTGGGAACCAAGCTGATGCTGACATAAGTCAACACTGGAAGTTCAGATGCAGTACTGATGACTGTCCGTCACCAGGGGAGTTCTCTTCACTTTGAGATGACAGGTGGGGATCACCTCTCTGCGGCTCCTTGGGATGGGGACCTTTTGTATTTTTAACGTTTTGTGACTTCATTCCAGTGGGAGAAAGCGTGATATACATGAGATTAATTGAGAAAGTTCATAGGTGAAAGATACCTTGACTCTTGACTCATAAGTCAGTGTAAAAAAAGGTAAAGATGTTTTTGAGAAAGAAAAGAAAGGGAAAAAGGAGAATGGGGAAAGGTACAGCTATCATTGAAACAGCTTGGCTTTTATGATTTTTAAGGGTATTCAGTAAGATAGCAATCTGAAAGTTTTGTTTTTATTTTTCAAATAACTAGTGGAGTAAAGACCTTTCCGGAAGCATTTTCAAGTTAAAATTGGTATACAGGAGGTTTAGCTATAATTGGAAGCAGATGTCCTTTTTATTTCATGGTGAACATTCTCATCATTTTCTTTGCAAATCTTGGTAAGAGAATACCGAGATTAATTTTTCTTTTTATTAGAGTTCTTTATTGGTTCTGTCACAATATATTTCCTTTTTGTGTGCAAGATCAATTTATTTTGATTGCTTTCAGATTCTGTTTACAAGTACTTACTGATCACCTATTCTGTATTTAGTATTGGAGGTCATATAAAAATGTATAATGTAGTTCTGGCCCTCAAAGTGTTTACAATCTAGTTGTTAATACAAGGCTAATACACATTAAATAGTCAGAAAGGAGGATAGCTTTGTACTATGTTGTAGAACATAGTACAGAGCTATCTGTATATATATTGAGATATATGTTAATGTATATCTGCACTTATTTTGTACTATAAGCTTTTAAATGTGTATGGTATATTCTCCATGCCTCCTTCTGGATTTTCTCAACACTCAGAAAACATGCATGAGCACGTATGTGCTGGAGCCTGGCACTCACTGTCCCCCTAGCCCTGCTGCCTCCCTCCACCCCAAATAAAGAAGTAAAAAAATGGTCCCAGTCCTTAAGGAGGAAATAGGTATTTAGCTATTACACAATCTGATTAACTGTTATAACTGTAGGGTAAACCAAGTACCAATAGTACAGACATGTAAGTGATTTTTTTTTTTCTTCCCCTGGTGGGTTTGAGCAGGTAAGCTTTGAGTTATTCTTGAAAAATGAATAGTCTTTTACCAAGTAAGGAAGGATAGAAAGGACATTCCAGGCAGAGGAAACATTTGAGACTGCCTGAAAAATTAGGGTTATTGTAAGCCATCCCATGGGATTAGAGCCACATAGGGTGAACAGCACCTGGTGACACTAATTAATAACTAATATCGTAGAGTGAGTGTTTTGAGAGAGAGACACAAAGGGAGGTCATCCAACTCAAAAAGGGTAAGAAGATCAAGAAAGTTTTTTAGGTAGGTTGACATAAACTGAGTATTGAACAATATAACAAGGAGAAGAGAAGGGCTTTCCAGGCAGGAAAAAACCTCTGTGAGGACTGGAAGTATTTCTGTGTGGCTGCAGGGAGAGATGTGGGTTCTTAACTCTGCAGAGTGGCACGACATCAAGCCAGAGAAATAAGCAGGCATCAAGTGTGCATGGAGCTATCCCAAGCAGAGGAGCTTCAATTTTATGCAGAAGGCTGGGAAATTTTTCCACATGATCAGATTTGCATTAGAGAATGATGACTGTGACCGCAGTGGGAGGACGAAACTGGAGGCAGGGAGCTTATTGTGGAAATATAGGTGTGAAATGATGAGGGTGGTGGCCATAGCGGTGGATAGGGGGAGATGCATCTGAAAGACAAGTGAGGAAAGTAAAGCCTGCTAAGCCAGGAAGGGCCTCCTCTATGTGCTTCCATATCACCCTCTTCTTCCCCACCATTCACTTGTTGGGTCTTTGCTGCATTGTGATAAGAAGGCACTCACAGTTGCATTGCCAGCATTGAGCACAGGCCTGGTACAGTGTAGGGACTAAATAAATATCTGTTAAATGAGTGATTAAATAAGTGATTGAGGAATCCAGTCATGACTCCCATTTCTCCAAGGTGATCAACTGATCAGAGGTCAGTGACAAAATGTTCTAGGGAGGCCACAGATCAAACAAGAACACATTTTCTCAGCCACCTCTAGGAAGAACTGTACTCACAAGTGCCCCTAGGAAATAGCACTGTGACATCATATTTTTTATATTTAAAAAGTTACATCGTGACTGAATCTTGGAAGCAATGTCATTTAGCATAGTTCATGATATACGGTAGGCTGGCAGTATGTGTGAATCCCCTTTTCCATCCCCCTTATTTGTCAGAATTTGCTGATTTCATGTACTTTGCAAAAACTTTAAAAAGAATTTGGATCAGGGAGTTCTTAAGCCACAGGGTCTCATTTAAAGAGCTCATAATGCCACATGTGGTAACTTATGCCTATAATCCTGGGATTTTATGGGAGGCTGAGGTGGGAGGATAACTTCAGGCCAGGAGTTTGAGACCAGCTTGTGCAACATAGTGAGAACCTGTCTCTCCAAAAATATTTAAAATTAGCCTGGCATGGTGGTGTGTGCCTGTAGTCCTAGCTGCTTGGGAGGCTGAGTGGGGAGAATTGCTTGAGCCTGGCAGTTGGAGGTCATGGTGAGCTATGATCATGCCACTGCCTTCCAGCCCAGGCAACAGAGTGAGACCCATCTCTAAAATAATAAATACAAGAAGCTCATAGCATCTTGGCATCCTGGGGCGAGGGCCAGACCACCCATGTTCCAATCACCAATGGTGTAGCCCTAAGAATTAGATTCCTTACTGAACCAAGCCCAGACATATTGAGTTCCAACCCAAAAATCCCGATAAGAGATATCAGAATGGAGAAAAGCATAGTCAGAATTTGGTTTCAGATTGGCTACAGGGGGTGAAGCAGAAGCACTTTGGTTTGACCATGGATAGCTGGGTGAATGGTGGCCGAGAAAAGGGGAGGGAGGTTAGCTTATGAGGGTGAAAGGCTCAGTGGTGTTTTACAGAAATCAATTTTGGGGCAACACTGGAACATCTTGGAAGGTACTAGTACAGATCCCAGCATATATTGATTACACTATAAATGGCAACTATTGTTTTTACTGTGGGAGAGGATGGGAAGAACAGGAGACCATAGAGCCAAAGACTAAATTTCAGCATTTAGCAAAATTTAGGGATTAAGGAGAGAAACAAGCACCAGTAAAGAGCATAGAAAGGGAATACTCAAACGCGATGGAAAAGACCTGGCATGAAGGCAAAAGCCTTAGGGGATCATGAGGAGGGGTAGTCAGTCTTGGGAGAAGCAATCCTAACCAAGGTCAGCCTGTGTAAGTGCGTACATGTGCAATCTCCTTTAATCCCCGTAACACCCAAGGCCCCTTTTCTCACTTTACTGCTGAAGCAGAGAGGTTCCAATAGTTTGTCCCTAGTTACCAGGCTGGTAAGGGTCAGAGTCAGGTCTCAAAGCCCATTTTCGTAATCGTACAAGCTGTCTCTTTCATCAGATGTGTAAATTACCAGGCTGATTTTAAGTGAGGAGAGGTTGAAAAGATTGAAAGTAGAAGAACTGAAAAAGACAATGAAAAGGAGTCTTCTGGTGACCATTAGGAAAGCAATCTTCGTTCAGCAGTGTGCTCAGAAACCATATCTCAGAGAGTCCAGTAGGGAATAAAAAGTAAAAAAAAAAAAAAAATCAAAGCAGGGCGTACCTATCAGTCATTTATGAAGTCTGGCAGGGGAAAGAGTTATAGGGCCATAGGGAGAAGGTACAGTGAGCTTCAAGTGCAGTTTTTATCAAGGGGGAGCAGATGGAACGAGCTAGCGTCTAAGGAGAACAAAAGGTGTGGGAAACGGGAGCAGGAGAGGAGAGATAGGAGGAAGGGTGCCTCTTCCTAAGAGCGTGGAAAGATGGATTTGATGACAGATACTGAAGATGCTCTTCTCCCCACAACTAAATGACTGGGCTGCTTTCTGCAGCCCAGAGCATTCAGATCCTTGAGTGTCCTGAAAACTGAAGGAGCCTCTGAGTCCTGTCCCCAATGGTGCCACTTTGGGGCATGCAGGCTGATGAGCTTTCCTTGTTTATGTAGCACAGTGGTCAGGAGCACAGACTCTAGCGTTAGACAGGCTGTTAACCTGAATTAATTCAGAACGCTGGCTCAGAATTAATTAATTCTTAATTCTGGCTCCGCCGCTTATCAGCTGTGAGACTGTGGGCACACAGTTTACTTCTCTGTGCTTCAAAATACTTCTGCTCTTAAGATGGAGATAGTAGAACCCGTTGCATAAGATCGTGAGGATTAGCTGAGTTACTCGTAAAGCTTGACACAGAGTAAGTGCTTAATAAATGGCAGGTATCTTGTGCGACAACAGCGAGGTTGAAACCATAAAGCTTTGACTTAATGCTTAGGGCTCTAGAGATGGTGTGCTTAAGTGTTCATTTAAAAAAAATTTTTTTTGGTTGGTTATAAATAGCTGTCTCCTTGTCTTCCTAAGTGCAGAAATTAAATCGGCAGACACAAATATGGCAGGAGCAGACCGGCCCGGCTGTCATAAGCCTAGGTGGAGTAGACATGTGCTGGGAGCGTCTGCCAATAGCATTTGCTTAGCTACCTACTTTTCACACCTGTCTGGAGAAGATGAAAGCTTGCTTGCTGCTCCTTGGATTCTTCAGGCTCGCAGGCATCACACAACAGGGACTTCGCTGTTTACCAAGTTGTTTTCAGGGATGTAACTACATGTATTAATTACAGCACCTCTTGGTACTGAGGGATATATACTCTAAATATCTCAGATGTGAGGTTTACAATGTTCCTTAGGAAATTAAATGCCTCTCTTCTTCATGGAAAAGTGTGTGTGTGTTCTAAACTATAATAGAATCCCAGTGGATATGGAAGCCCCACCACCTAGCTAGTTCCAGTGCAAGGACTGGAACCCAGATCTGACCCATAACTCAGTGTTCTTTGCATTACACTCTGGTGTAGTCAAACACTGCTTTTGTTTCCTTTTTGGTCCCATCCATCCTATTAATGTTTTAGCCCTACTAAACTTCTTACTCCAACGAGATGTTTCTTTTTACCACTGGGTCTTTGGCCATATTGTTCCCTCCTTCTGGAATGCCATCCTTGCCTCCCCCTAACTAACTCCTTTGGGTTTTTAGGTAAAAGTCACTTTCTAGGGAAGGTTGCCCTCTAACCTTAAGGTAGACTTTCCTTTCTGTGTGTTTCCATAGTCCCTAGCTTTGTATGTTTAGTGTCTGATGTAGCGCTTGGCACATAGTAAGTGTTCAGTAAACGTTTTTAATTGAATGACTGAATGAATCATTCTTGCCCTTTTGAGTCATTGATGGCAGCCCAAATTCATGCAGCTTCGTGTTATAGAAAATCACAGAATTTTCAACTTTAAAGGTTCATTGGAAGTTATTTAATCAGATTTTCAAGTGAAATGAGATGAGGGAACCGAGAAATGAAGAAGTATGGAGACTTGCCTGAGGATACTACTTACTGTAGCTGCGTAGTGTCAGAACTGAGGCCACATCTGGGTCTGATTTCAGACCCAGACTCTACCCAGGGCTAGGACCAGGTTTGTGCAAGTACAGGGTTTGTTCTTGTCTTTATTTAAAATTTTGTTATTTTTGTTCATCACGGAATCAGTCTTTGCATTACGATTTTTTAAACTATTGCATTAAAATATTATTTATGTCAATTACTGAGTGTTGTGGCACCCCTTAAATTTTGTGCCTCATGAGGCATGAGGTGCCTCATGTGCCCGCATGTGCCTCATTCACCTGTCCCTGGTCTCAGCGCAGGATGCTTCCTGGTCTTCCAGCCCTGGCTTGAGAATGTAGTAACACTGTGAGTGGCAAGGGACTCATTGAAGATAGTGAAGGAAACACCTTTCGGCATGACAGTATGAGCTGGAAATGATTTTTCAGGGCGAACATATTCACATTGTAAAACAAGGCCAAAAGAATAAAAATAAAAGCTGAAGAAAAGCTCCATCTACTCACATTGTAAAAACAAGGCCAAAAGAATAAAAATAAAAGCTGAAGAAAAGCTCCCTCTACTTATCATCTATTATATTTATCTGTCTGGAGGAAAATGTAGAGCTCATCTAAACTAATTCCCTCATTTATAAATTTACATGTAGTTTCTCTACTACCATAGTTTTGAGTTTTGTGAGGACTCAAGATAAGAGAAGCAAATTATTCCACCCATCAACTTGGCTGCTCTTGGCACTGCTGGCCTGTTTTGAAGATTTGAGGTCAGAAGGGAGAATGACAGAAGTCGGCTATTGCTGCCAAAAAACTAAAAAATAGGAAAGTAGGGAAAAGGAGCATGGATGGAAAGGAGAAAAAGAGATTAGGAAGGTAATTTTGAGTGGGTATCTTGTATGTACTATGCAAGGTACTACTATAGACTATAGTAGGGACTTTACCTATATTACCTCATTAATTTCTACAACACACTGGAAAATAGGTAGTGATATCTCCATTTGACAGCTGAGCCAAGCAAGTGTCAGAAAGTTGGGTTAGCTTACCCAAGTTCTGAAAGCTAGAGCTGGACTCAAATCCAGATCCAAAGCCTGTGCTCATCCTGCTTAATCCTTTTGGCTCTCAAACCCTTGGAGTTTCAGATTACCCCATAAACTTCTTGCCACCCGTGAACCCTTAGGTGACAGGCTTCAGCAGCTTGTCAGGGTTCACTGGGTGGGAAGTGAACAGTCAGCTCCAAGTCCTGCCATTGTTTCCTTTTTATATGGTACCTTTATCTTTTCCCATTCATCAGCAACAACAGAGAGAGGAGATGCATACACGTAGGAGATAAATACCCCTCTCTGTGTGAATCTCATACATTTTTACATGACACAAAAAGCCCTTATTTTATATTGTCTCCATTATGTTAGAAAGCACTTTTTCTTTGGGTATGATGGCATCAAGCATTCTAGAAATGCTCAGCCACAGAAGGAAAGGTGGTCATATTTACTGGAGCAAATCTGTCACAATGAAGGGGAATGTATTTGCATGGCTGACTGTCAAGGGCTTCTGGGGTGCTCTTTTTATTGAGGTTTCTGATGAGTAGTATAGAGCAGTGACCTGCCCCCCGCCAACATTTGAATTCAATGAAATATATAATTAAGTGGAATCAGATACAATTAACAAGAATAATATCTGGGTGAGAGGACTGCTGTTCAGCTCAGCAGCTCTGCATGCCGGGCTGGCTTTATCATCCTTCCCGTCTGCCAGCCCTGGCGCTTCCAGGCAAACCCACACGCTCAAATGCTCTAATAATCAGCCCACAGCCTTCTCTCCTGGGGGTCACAGGAACTAAAAAAAAAAAAAAAGCGAAGACCTTTTCATTCACACTTGTATTAACTGGAAAAAACATGATCTCACTTATGTTTCTTTTTCTGCAGAGTAAAAGCAAGGTAATGTCTCTGGGTTTGAGAAAATCTCTCAGGTTTAGTTTTTTACAGATCCTGGCCAGGCTAGACTGGAACAATTAAAATATTTTAGCAATTAAGAAATGCATTAAAACAATTATATATACGTACTATAATGGTATACAAAATGCTTATATAATGAAGTGCCTCGTGTAGAAAGTATCACACACATTTCTCCCCCAAATTCTTTCCCTGTCAATTGTTTGGTGTACAGTCTTCCAGTTTTTTTGGTGCACTAATATTTACATTTTTTTTTTTTTGAGACAGAGTCTCACTCTGTTGCCCGGCCTAGAGTGCCGTGGTATCAGCCTAGCTCACAGGAACCTCAAACTACTGCCTCAGCCCCCCGAGTAGCTGGGACTACAGGCATGTGTCATCATGCCAGGCTAATTTTTTCTATATATTTTTAGTTGGCCAATTGATTTCTTTCTATTTTTTAGTAGAGACAGGGTCTTGCTTTTGCGCAGGCTGGTTTCGAACTCCTGACCTTGAGCAATCCGCCCACCTCAGCCTCCTAGAGTGCTAGGATTACAGGTGTGAGCCACCACATATTTTTTTAAAGGTGGAATTATACCTTACATTTTATTTTGTTGTTGACTTTTAGCTACAATTTCAAATGGAACCAATTTCCTTTGATCAATAAACATTTAGTAAATATTACTGTGTATAAGAATGATGAATTCTGCTTCCCATCTTAAAGCTGATATATCTTGGGGTCCTTTGGCCATCTGTCCTCATATATATTTTTTAGATACAGTCATAAAGAAATATTTTCTGGGCTCCTTCTGGGAGCTACCTACTTATACCACGTGCCTTTTGAAGAGTTCACATTCTAGCAAGAGATAACATAAAGAGGGAACTTAATCTGAACTTGATGAATGGCAAAAGCTATAAATTATCCTTGATTCAAAGAATTGCTGGAAGGGATAGTTTATTTCAATCATCTTATTTTTCCAGATGAGAAAATCGAAGTCCATTGAGGTTTACTTGTCCAGGCTCCCACTACTGGTGGCTGGAGAGGCTGGAAAGACAGGCTGGTTTCCAGCCTATTAAGCCAGTGTTGATTCCATTACACCTGACTGCAAAACAGCTCCTACACAGGAAGAGGATTCTAGGGAATTCACTTCACAAACACTAGTTTGAGCAAAAATTCCTAGCAAATTGAAACTCATGCTGTACATAAATGCCGTCACCCACAAGCCACTGCAGATTGCCTTCTCATCTTCCCACTCCTCCCTGCTCACCTAAGCCCTACCTGCACTCTACCTTCTCCTCCGTGGCCTGATGTTCTCCCATTGGAACTTCGAAGTTAGGCAAGAATCAATTGTAATGTTGAGATGAGATGGTACGCATGTTACCTAGGGAGGGAGTTCTTCTATAAATACATTGGCAGAGATTTCTCAATTTAGCTTCTTGCCACCTTGAACCTTAAGGAATGAATTCCACAATATATGCATTTTATTTGCAAACTTAAGTCATGAACTCTTTCTTAATTAACTGATGATTTTTCTCCATGATGGAAGCATAAGGAAAACTCCAATTCTTAAATACTCTGATTATTTTCCCCTGCTCTAGAAGCAGCAGGATCATGTGGTGGGCTAGGAGCTTAGACTATGGGTTCAGATGGAGATGGGTTCTAACCCTAGCTCTGCCATTCACTAGCTTTGTAATGTCGGGGCCAATCCTTCAGTCTTGCTGAGTCTCAGATCTCTCATCTGTAGGATGGAGATATGAAAATACCCCTCTACCCACAGAAGTTTCATAAGGAACAAATAAATTACTTGCCTTAATATAGAGTCTATAACATAATAAGGACTAAAGAAATTGTAGCTATTATTATTCATTATTTATGATATTCATATGGAATACAGCTGATATGGCCCTCAGAACCACTTAGATATGAAGCTTTAAAATACTGGGTTGTCACACTTTTCTACATAATACTTTAACCTCCTTTTTTTATTCAAAAAAAGTTCAAGACTTAAACCAACAAGTTGAAAATATAATTCCTTCTGCTGGTAACCCCCAAATTTTGTCAGGTCTCTGTCTCAATACCATTGTTAGTCACTACTGACTCATGAACCACAGAATTCAGAAGCACAGCAAGAGGTGAGAAAATAAAGGGATTTGATCAACACATCAAAAGTCTGCTTTAAAAATTAAATCTCAGCCCTCTTTCTCTGTATTATTCTACTTTCATGGAAATTCTTTGGAAATGATGATGATGTATGCCTTTCTCAAGCATGGAGACAACATTACTACTGGTTAAATATATGTTTTAAGTCTCATTTTCCTTAGTTGTGCTGGTAGGTTACCTGGATGTAGACACATATAAATGCTTGCACAGAATAGTAGAACTAAGGTGTGAGCAATACGAATCCCAGCCACCCACTCGGTGCTGGGGTATCTCCTTTCACACTCCATAACAAGAAGATGCCCAGCATCTATTTTTTGGCACTAGGGCTCCATTCCTTCCCCCTGTTTATGACCATAATGTATGTACCCAAGATAGACACTAATTGGGTCTGAGCTGTGCTTGGCCAGGATCCTGGGAGCTAGAGCAGAGACAGTAAACTTGATGTTTTATCAAGCACCCCAAAGAATACTTTCACTGCCGTGTCTTTGTATTTGCTGTTCCCTCAGTCTGGGATGCCTGCCCTGCAGAAATCTGCATGTGTCCCTTTCTCACCATGTCATCCCTCTGCTCAAGTGTCATCAGGCCTTCCGTGATAACTCTAAAAGACCCCACCCATTATTCTTTAACTCTACTTTGATTTATGTTTCTTCATTAGTACTGATAAACACCTTTTCATATGTATGTTTGCATGTTGTGACCTGCCTCTTCCTACTGAAATGGAAACATCACAAGATGAGGGATTCTGTATATTTTGTCCATTATTACATCTCAGAGACCTGGAATAGTGCCCATCACATTCTATAAATTTAATTAAAATTTATTGAATAAGTGAACTAGAAGGAAGAATAATTAGCATCTTGAGAGTGTATCCAAGAAGCCAGTAGCAATCACTAGATCTGAAAGGCAGGAGAGCAAGAGAACATCTGAAAATGCAAGATAGCTCCAGAGACCCAGAGTGAAGCAGATCTGCAAATGCATGGTGGGTAATGGAGGCCCAGGCTGGGGCTTGGTCCTAGAGGATTCCTCTGAATGAGGCAGAGGTGTTTCAGCTGCAACCATTGGCTGTCAGGCACATGGGCCTCTGGTAGTTGGGGCATTTGCCAGGGACCCTACCTATGCATTAGAGTCTGTTTCACTGTGGGACCTTGAAACATTAAAGTATTCTCCCAGCTTGAGCTGAGTTCTGCCTCACTCTATCTACATGGGGGAAGATGGCCAGGTTAAGGGGTATAATTCATGTGGAAGAAGATGTAATTAAGTGGTATCCATAGAAATAAAACCCCATTTTATATAAAGACTCATTTGCATAGTGCTTTGACAAAACAAGCCAATTGGATCCAGATTAAGGAATCAGGGTAGGAAAATGCCTTTGGAAAACTAAAAACAACTTAGCACATATTAGCACATATACCTTCTTATCTCTATATATGTTCTGTTATTAAGGAAATGTAAGTTTGTAAAGGAAATCTAGCTCTCTTGAGATCTTTAAATATGAGTTTACCTCTGGTTATTAGGTTTGGTTCTGGGTGAAATGCTGACAAGTGTTTAGTATGGTTTGTTGTGATCTGGGGTATAGCAGCCCTGTGAGGCAGTTTTCTGGAGGACTTTGGGGCCGTGTGAAAGCTGTAGACGACCCGATATTGTGCCCAGAGTTTCTCTTGGGGAAGCCATATAAGGTGTGGCAGTGTTGCCCAAAAACATAATCTTTGGAGAACAATTATTGAATGTTTTATGGTTCTCTTGCTCTGAGCAGAAGTTTTCATACACTTAAATACCGACTACAGGGAAGAAACTTACAAAACTGATTAAAAGGAAATGTAAACTTCTTGGAAAGTTTAACCAATGTTAAAAGAGAATATGATGAACTGCACCCTTAAAATATGTCCCCCTTCATAAAAGTCTCAGGAAAAGCAAGTCTGGAGGCAAATGGTGAAAAGCTAAACTCTATACCTCTAGAGAAAATAGAATTTGTAGAAGAACTGAGAGAAGAGACATTTAATCATTCATAACTGGATGAATGAATTGACTGAGATTAAAAGAAGGTTAAAGTCACTTGGGAATAAATCAGAATTTATGAGATAATTAGTAGCTTTTCCAAGTAGGGCATATGGAGGAGAGAATCCCACATATGGTCTTTCACCGAAGGATGAGCCTTCGTCCAAGAGAGGATCTTTCCCCTCTTCTATGCAGACTCTCACCTTAGCTGCAAGTCTTTGTTCCTCTGCCTTTTCCCTTGAATTCAAGATTCCTTGTTGTGGATCCAAGAAGACAGTTTAGAGACTTGAGCCTCTTTTCCTCTGGTTCCTTCAGAAAGCATGTATGGATCATGCCAAGAATACTTTCTATCTAGGAATTTTTCTGATGTACCACATCCTTCTGTAGCAGAGATAATATCTACCCACTAAGATTTTTTTTTCCTCATTTTTCTCTCCCAGGTGCTAGATTCCCCACCCGCCTCATCCTGAAAATAATGGTGAGTTTTCTTCAAGATAGATTCAGCTTTCAAATAAACCTACTGAACATCCAGAACCATAGCCAGAAACTTGAGAAACTTTTATTTCTCTTCAAAACTAATTCTGAATTATTTCTTGAATTGAATTTAAGAAACTGCTTTAATTTAGGTGATGACACTGTTCACCAAAAGAAAGTTCCAGTATCATAGGAGATGAAACACAAACTTCACCTTACCAATCATCCTGTGTGGACTTCACGCAGGATAATCTCTCCTCTGATATTTCCTTCATCTTTTGCCCCTTTTCTCCAGAGCTGCTTTTCCCTTGCATTTATCTTTGTCTACTTTCTTGCCCATTTCAGACAGCCTTTGCTGTGGACCCCTAATGCAAGACTCGCCCATGATCCTCCAGGCAACTTTGCAGTTCACTCATGCCCCCCTCCCCCCAAAAAAAAAACAAACCATAGAGATCATTTAGAAACGGCAGGGTGTATTGTAAAGAGTGTGACATTTCAGTCAAAAGATCTGAGTCTGAGCCTTGTCTACATGGCTTGCTCACTGTGTAGCTGAGAATTGTCTTAACTCCTTTGAGATTTAATTGCTTCATTTTTAAAATGAAGACAAGGTTAACTCAAAAAAGGATTGTTTTGAGATAATGCATTGGTAGGCAAATTCTTAAATTCTGCACAAGTACTGGTTATTAAAACATTATTACTCATTCAGCCCCATTGTTTTACAGAAAATGAAGGGGGAAGAGGTTACTCTTCCAGCAATATGGGGCTCAAATTTTTATTGTTCAGTTGTCAACTGAAAACCAAAGTATGGAGTCTGGAGCAGATGGAAATGCATGTGCTGGCTGAGGATAGAAATCACCTTAGGTTCAGATGTATTTCTCTTTGATATGCCTAAGAAGTGTTCTATGGTAAATATAGTACATGCTTGGCATTCGTACAGGAAATCACTTTACCTAATTTGCCCAAAATTACTTACCTAAGGCTATTAAGTTTTATGCTTACTATGCTCCCTTTTTAATATGAAGAATGTCTGAGATTACCCAGAGAAGTTGAGAACATTCTCAGTTTTTATTTTAAAACCATAGGTAGATGGAGAGGGGTGCTGCCTGCATAAAAAGGAAAATGGAAAGGGTCTAGGGAGTGGAGGTCTGAGGTGATCCAGAAGGAATCAGCTATTTCACATTTACCTAAAATAGAAGCACCGAGGCCTTGCCAGACATGGCTGTGTGGTTTGAAAGTATCAAACTCAATTCTAAAGGAAGGGTCCCAATGCCCTCTACCTTGTAAAGTTAGAACAACCAAACCATTTTGACCAAAATCACCAGGAAAATTCAACGGGATGAATAATCTAGATTGAACCTGAACAGGCTGATCGAGATCTTGACAGTTAGGCAGTAGTCGAAACTGGACACATTCCTTCCTAGTCTTTGATTTATTAAACATAGTTATGCAGTAAATATTTGGTGAATAAATCACAGTGTAATGAGTCAGTGAATGGAAGTAAATGAGTAAGTGAACCAAAAGAGCAATGAATGAATAGAACGACTCTGCGATTCGGAGAGTTGGAAGCTGGATGCCTAACTGGCAATAGGTAGGGAGAGAATGAGCCAAAAATGCCCTGGACTAGAGATTCCAAATGATCATTCTAAAGAAGCATGTTTTAGCGAGATAGAGTCAGATAAGAGGCTGGCTCCAAAGCTGTGTAAGCCATAAGTGATGATACCGCATGGTACTTGAGGTTTATAATATCCTGTACTGCCCAGTGAGAAGAACCTGGGCTCTGGAATCCAACAGATGGTTTTCAGTTCTGATCTACTTGCTTTGATGAGCTACTAGGATATTTAACCTCTCTGACTTTCAATTCCTTCCTCTAAAAATGGGCTCACAACACCTACCTCATATGATTGTTTCAAGGAGTATCTGAGCTGTCTGTAAATCTCTGGCACATTGTTCATTCTCTATAAATGTCAGTTGCCTTTCCCTGACCTTGGTCTTGGATTAAAAAAAACATCAGCAATATCCTGTAGATACAGACATATTGAAAACCAACAAAGATTGCAAGTTCTTCCAACATTGTAGAAATTCATATTAAATAACCAACACTAGTTTACTCCTACAAAATGCAGCATATGCATTCTTAAGCATGTATGTGTCTATAAGTGTACTGCATTGAGGACTCATTAAGTACAAACTTCACCTTATCAGTTTCTCTATATGGACTTCACCCAGGACAGTTTCTACTGTGACATATTCCCAGGTTTCTGCCCCTCTTCTCCAGAGCTACCTTTCCCTTGCTTTTGTCTCTGTCTACTCTCTTGCCCATTTTAGACATTCCTTGCTGCTGACCCCTAATGTAAGACCCCCCACCCCCTCCCCCAGACATCTTTGCATCCATACTTCACCCACATCCCCGTTTAAGGCCAAGAGAATTGCCAAGTTCCATCGTTTCTTCTTTATCATCTGCCTCTTTTCTTCTTTATCTCTTTTTTCTTACAAAACCCAATAAAACCTCTTTTTATCTCCCAGCATTTTCTCAACCCTCAGTTCCCTTCGTTTATTCTTGCTGTTACTAATCTCACAACTCCTTGTAATTATTTTATTTTAATGCATTTATCTTGGTTATGTGTCCCCTTTGGTATATGGTCTTTCAAGTGGGACTCCCTGAAAACACCTGCTTCTTTAGTCACCTGGTCTCTTTATATAGCTCATCTTTTCTTCCTCAGCAGAAACATTATAGTTTTTTGAGTCTTATTTTTACTCTGAAACTCCCCTCCTCTCACAGACATATGCTTAGACCTTTTAGCCACTTCTAGATTTTTAGCTTAAGGGATTTTTGCTCCTTTCTTCTAGGAAGTCCCTGCATTATTCCTCCTCGGCTATCGTGAACTCTCATGTGACTGTTTTGAGGATATTTCCCAAACTTCCACGTCGGTCAGAATTAGTTACAGAGTAGTCATCTTATCTAATGACGTCATGTGCCCATCGAGAAATGAGATCACAGAAAGGTGGTTAAGGGTGTATCTGAGCACCGTGCCGAGCAACTTGTCTTCTAGCCAGTTAGTAGCTATGTGTCATCCACTCCAGCTCTGCCTATTCCGTGGACTGTGTGGGGAACACACCTTCCCTTCCTTCCTCAGCCCAAGCAGTTTCCATGGAAATCTTACAATGGTATCACTTCAATTTCTCTCTCTTTTCATTTTCAGCCTCATTGTAGCTGGCATGAATCTACCCTCAGGTCTGAACCATACGATTTCCTCACTATTCGGTGCTCAGTACTTGTGCCTTTTAAAAGTATATGTTTATAATGCTCACGCTGCAGGTTAATTCCGTCTCCAGACACATCTGTGACTGTAGTCTGTCTTGAACAGCTGCTTCTCTTTGAGCAGCCCTTCAATTTCTTTTTCTTCTTGCTCCTTTTGATTTATGCCATGTTTCTTTTTCTCAGACTACTGATCTTGGCTAAGATATTGCTAAGATATTGAGAGGTTGAATCCTTAATGTTGAAGGAAGTGTTTTAGCTTAGGCAAGTCTTGTGATTTTCAAATTACACTGTACTAGCAGGTGGACCCCAGCCTAGTCTATGGACAAAGCTCCACAAAAATGTGTTGACTCACTGATTGAATAGATCACCTGCTCCTTCATCCCATTTGCCATGCTCAGGTGCCATTTGGCCCAACTTCATTTCTTCTTTTACTGTGTCTTGAGAACTATGTCAGGAGAAATGTGCCAGAGAAACTAGTCCATAAATAGATCATTACTCACAGGGAGAGATGCCAAATAGCCTTGTTCTGTGTCCAAGAAAACACTGGGGCTCCTGAAAAGCAAAATGAAAAGTGACAACTGAGCTTATCATTTCATTGGGAAGACAAAAGGCATAGACATAAGACAGCATAATTCTTGATGTAGTGAGCATTTGAGATAGAACGTACCAGGCCAACCCTGAGCTAATTAAAAGCCACAGGGATCCTGGAGCCCTTGGGCCTCTCAAAAACTGTGTAAACTTCTTACTGAGCCTTTTATATATTCCTACAAGGTATCAGAGAAGAATACACCACTTTAGTATATAAGGCAATCCAGGAAAAATGGGGCTCACAATGAGATAGTAAATCACAATAAACCAGAGATCTTTTTTCAGGAAAAAGCTTTCATTTCTTTAGGTAAAGCTTAAAGATTAATGTGATGCTGTCTCATTTCAGGGGGATTCATAGAAGCATTGATTTTATAATAGGAAGCATGCATATCTCCTAATGCATTTGCATTGAATACTTATGCTCCAGTAGCTGCAGATCCTCAGAGGCCAGGGAAAATCTTGACTCAGAGCCCTTGTCTAGAGGATGGCCATTCACTAGTACCTGTGGACACTGAAGCCTTAAAACATGGAAAATCATAGTAGTACATAAGGCAGACAATGGTTAGGAAACATATTATCAAAGAGCACTACAAAATAAGAAATAGTCAATAGTAACATAAGCAAAGTGTATGAACAAGAAACCTAGAGAAAATGCATAATCGATATATACACATATACATCTATATGTTAAAGAGTAATGCTTCTAGTAAGAGCCTTGACTTTTTTTTTTTTTGATAGTAAGTGAAAGCAGTTCTCTTTTGAGTTTATTATGCCTAAACAACCATAATAGGAGCTTTTAGAAAATTCCAGGATCTGTGATACTGTGATCTCCGAATTGATTTGAATCTTCTCCAGTGTCTTTTCTGGAAAAAAAAAATATGTATTGGGAGAGTTGAAGGGTAGGTGAAGGGAAGACATGAAGGGGAATTATGGAGCAGGTTGCATTTTAAATATGAAGTCATGAGTATAAAAGACAGAAAAGCCATAAAAAATTTTTTGTGCATTTGAGCTTTCCAAGAAGGGTTTGGGTCTGAATTTTGATCTATGAGGAATAGTTCCCAAATGAGTAGGTATTGTGTTTCCTGCTATTTATTTGTTCCCAACAAAGCCAAATGTGAAGGGGCAGCATCTGGGATAAGGGCTATTGTAAGTATACACACAAGTATTGTGGAGTAGGATAGAAAGACCCCAGGAGGGGAAGGAGGGATGATGGAGAGTACCTAGTGCATCTAGTATCTCTGTTGGTCTCTCTAGTATTATTGTCAAGTTGATAAAAACCAATGTTTGTAAGAGTCAAATTAGCCCAAGTTGATGCCTATTAATGGCAGTGCTGATTAATCCTAGACAAACTAGAACTGTTTCCACCTCAAAAACCTGAAATTATGAAACCTTTGTGTGGCCCCCACCTCTTAGCCTTCTGCACCTCTCACAGCCTCTGCACCTCTTTTCCCATCTCTCGACTCTAACCTGGTCTCCTTCACCTTCTGTTTGTCAAGCAAATAGTTTCTCCAAACTCTATTGTCACTCTAGATTCACTTTGTTTCCTCCCAGGGCTTCCTGGACATTGTCCTTTTGTAGTTTTCCTTTTGCTCCTGTGGCTTCCTATTTCTAGGCTACTTTTCTAGCTTATCTTACTACAACTTCCCTTAAATGCTGATGGTTGAAGAGCTTCCATTCTCTGCACTCCACTATACTCAGTATTGTTCCTGTTTTTTGCCACTGTCCTGGTTAAGGCTGTAAATCATTTTGCCTATGTTTTTTCATTCATATCCTAAATTGTCTCTTGTCCCCATTCCCTCCAATTATTTGTAACTAATTAGTGACTTCTAATTATTTGTAACTAATACTGCCTGATTTATCAATCATTCAATCATCTATCTGGAATGCATCTCTAATTATTATCACACCATAGCTAACCATGTAGTCTAAGCTCTTCATTCTCAATATTCCCCAATCTCAAGCCCCAGACTTTCTTCCTATCCTATCTCCTACTTGCTCAAGCTGCATCAGACTTCTTGCCTTTCAACAAGCATGCCCTGCATATTCCTGTTCCATGTTTCAGACCTTCTTGTCCCATGTGCACTTGTCAAAGTGTTAACAATCCTTCAGGACTTACAAAAATGTTCCCCCATCTTTTCAGATGCTTCTAATCAGCAATAATGATTCTCGACTTAATTTTTCATGTTACATTTCTACATCTGCTAGTGTTCATTTCATTTTCATTCTTGCTTTATAGCTATTTTTGTACATATGTTACTATTTTCCACTCACTCTGCCTCCCTGAAGGCAAGAAGATCTTTATTTTTTAATTTAGAGATAAAGAATATGATTCCAGCATGCATTGGTGATAACTACCATTCACATATTGATGTATATCCTTGCAGGCTCTCTTTATGCATACATACAGTTCTCCTCATTTAAAAAAATAAAATGATATCCCAGTACACATATGCGTCTATAACCTGATTTTAACATGTAATGAGAAATCACAATTGAATGGTAGGTAAGTGAGTTATATTAGAAACAGACTGCCTGAATTCAAATCCCTACTTTACTACTTACTAGCTAGGTAAACTTGGTCATGATATTTAACCTTTCTGTCCTTCATTCCCTAATCTGTAAAATACAGATAATAATACCTATCTCTTATGCTTGTGATATGAATGATATGTGATTTGACATGTGATATGTCATTTGACATAATCCACATAAAATATGCCATAGTGTATTTGACATAATAAGCACATAGTAAATGTTGCTTGCTACTATTATAAAAAAAATATATGAACATCTTCTTGTGACAATAAGTATGGTCTAGACCAGTGGTTTGTAGCTAATGGTGATTTTTTTGCCCCCCAGGGGAACTTTTGGCAGTGTCTGGAGATATTTTTGTCTGTCACAAAGGGCAGGAGGAGTGCTACTGGCATCTAGTGTGTAGAGGCCAGAGCTGCTGCTAAACGTCTTGCAATGCACAGGAGAGCTCCGGCAACAAAATTACCTGGCTGCAAACGTCAGTAGTGGCAAGGTCAAGAAAGGACAATCTAGGGTGTCCAGAGCCTCACTTAGCACAGATGAGACGGCCAAGTTAGCTGAGATGGCTGAGGTGACTGGGGGTCTGGGGCTTCCCTCTACCCTGCCTTTTTTCCTATAGGAAGCTAGCTTGGGCTTGTTCACATGGTGGCAGAAGGGTTCCCAGTAGTAAGAGAGGGCAAACACTTTTCTCTCCTCTGCTCCGGTCATATTTTCTAATGTCCCATTGGCCAAAGCAAGTTATTATGGCCAAGCCCAGATTCAGGGGGTAGGGAAATAGATTTCACTTTTTGACTGGAGCTACAAACCACTGTGTCTTTTTTTTTTTTTTTTCCTTTTTTAACTCTTCCACATAAGATGGACATACTTTTAACTGAGACTCAAGCTGCTAAATGGCCCTTCCTGGAAGGCTGTGGCAGTTTACTCACTCAGCAACACTTATCTGTATTTTGGTATCTCACAAATACTTCTAAGTTGGTGTTAAAAAGATATTAGTGCTTAATGTCTTCTGTCAGCCAGGTGAGAGTAAAAACCGAGAACAGAAACAGAACAAAACATATACTTTATATTAATCCAGTTTTTATATTTTCACTCAGAAGAGCCCCGATTCACCTGTTAAAAACAGCCTGATGGCATTTCAACCTGGATGTCACACAGTACCAAAAACAGAACACGTAAAATTAAAATGTTTACCTTCCCCCATAAATCTGCTTTTCCTGTACTTCCCATTTCAGTTAGTGGCACCACCATTACCTAATCACTTGAGCCAGAAGAACAGGTCTCCTCTTAGATCCTTCTTCTCCCTCACTTCCTTTTCTAATGCCACCAAGCATTCCATTGCTTTACCTCCTAGAGGTCTCTCATACTGATTTCATATTTCTCTATCTCTACCACCACAGGATTCATTTAGACTCTTATAATTTCTTGCTTGTATCATTACAATATCCTCTGTGTCCATTATCAACTCTGCTATACCCCACCTACTCTAAAGCCTCCTGGGTTCTCTTTCCAAAATAAAAATCAGAACAAGTCAGTTCCATGACAAAAATACCTTGAATCTTTTTGCCCTTTGTGGAATCTCCATGTCCTTCAGGAATTAAGTGCAAATGCCTTAACAGAGCATTCATGTCCCTGCTGTGGGGAGGAATGGTAATACTCAGTCTGCCCAGCTTATAAGATTATTTGGATAAATAAATGAGATTCTATGTGTATGTTGAATGAATGAATGAGTATATGAATCAATGAATACAAAGTAAATACTTCTGTGTGGCTACAGGAAAGGGTTTGGAAGTTGTAGGGAAAAGATGCAGCTTGAAGGATAGTCTGGGGCTTGATCATAAGTGGCCTGTGTATCAGGCTAAGAAGACAGGATTTTATTCTGTAAGAAACTAGAAGCATATGATAGCCTCTGGTACTTCAAATAACCTCTAGAAAGGGAAACATAAAATCCTATTTACCATATACTTCAATGTAAAAAATATTATTAATGTGAATGTTCTTGTCCCTATTGAACCACAGTTTCCTGATGAAACTTAATACTCCTAAGAGCCTGAATTTTATAACCTAACTTTCACAAGGCTTTAGATTCACAAGATAATTTCTCAAGCTCCTTTCATGCATTTATTTCTTTGGATACAACCTTTGGCTTGCATCAGAAAATGGTCCCAACACTTCTGAAGTGCATGGATGACACAGTCAATTAGAAGAGAATCCATAATAGTGTATTGGTGTACTTGAGTCAAGGTGTTAATATTTTTGTTAGGCCTTCCTACCTATCTTCAGCTGTGCTTTGCACAAACCCTTCTTTTAGACAGGTGTCATTCTTCACGAAGACTTACTACTTATTATCATCCAGTGCCCCTGTGATCCCTGAGGTCATTGAAAATTGATTTGTTCCAGTGCCTTTCCTAGGTGCCAGCCACTGAAATCCTTGA